ACTGGGGATGATCTTTGTGGTTCTCCACCAGGAAAAAACATTATCAATTAAAAAAATGGGTAGGTGAAGAAATCATTTAACATTAGTTTTCTTTAAAAAGCTGTCCCTTTTATCTTCCTCTGAATTCATTAATTATAGATCTGCTACATGATTTACAGATACCAGAAGAGAAGGAGGTGGGAATTACTCACGCTGGGAACCCCTCCTGGACTTCTGTTAAGTAGCCGGATGCTGTTAAATGCTCCATATTACGAAGAGACATGGAGATGCAGGATCAAGCACCATGTTCCTGGAAATTCTGGAACTATGTATGTTCTCTCCAAAAATTCATATTTTAGTCATTTTAAACTATGAGGATTGCTTGTAATAGATAGAAGTTTTTCTTTTACCCATTACTAAATAGTGTAGGTTATGAAATTCTGCATCTCTCAGAAGGAGTATTCCAAATTTCCTAAGCACATTAGAATCAAATTACTTAAATTATGTCTATTTCATATTCTGAGTGCATGCGTTTGCAATTAGCTGTGTCAGGCATTTTTCTTTCATTTAATTTCATCATCATCAAGGAGTATTTATTAAGCACAAACCTGGCTAATTAATTTTCTGGAGAATAACAGGTATTCTTAAATTCATTCTTTCTATTTAAGAGCCCTTAAATAACTTACCTGATACATGACAGTCCTTCCCTTAGTAAAAATTGCCTTTACATTTTAATTTTTCCCTTATTATTTCAAGGTTTAATTAGGACACATTCCACTCCTAAAGTCAATATATTAAAAAAGAAAAAAAAGGTCCTTCAGAATTAGTACAACAGATTTCATGAGATTTTTATTCTTACCACAGCATGTTAATATTCTTCCTCACTTTTTAAAAACATCACTATTTCAGTTATGTATTTTTTCTAAAAGTGATTTACTTTTAAAGTAGAAAACTAAGCAGTGCAAGTTAGTATAAGTGACAGATGTAAAAATGCATTTTCTCTAAAAAAACTTAGTTAATATCGTGCATCGAAGTAAAGCGAAAGAAAGCCACTGATCCTAGAACTCAAAACATTTAGCAAATGAGAATGAAAATATCAAAGGTCTTCGAACTGATCATCAAGACTTTACGTGGGCTTCCCTGGAGAAAAGGAAAAGCTAATTTTATGTTGATTTTGGGAAAGGAGAGTATTTTTCTCAAGGTGTTTTTTCTAACAATGACAATATTTCTTTTTATTTAACAGTAACAACAAGAACACATTCACTTTAAATTCCAATCACGAGAGTGAAATTTTAGGAAAGCATTCTCATGAACATCATAATTTCATTCCACTCAGTTCTGGGTTCATGAGAAGTTAACACAGACACTTGTATCTAGTTATTTTGGTTCTGGGAGCAGTTGCACTGTACTTTAGAGGCAGATGCCCAGGAAGAATGACAGGAACTAAAATGAAACTGCAATCTCATAGTGCATGTTATTGTTTAAGCATATCAGCACCAATACTCTAAGTCATACTTGGCTATCATGGTCAATGGTCGCTTCGTACATGGAAAAGCAGAGCTCAAAGGGACGCTTCCAAGGCGTCCACAAAGAACTCTGTGGGCGAAAGCTAAAGCATCTGAAGTGTCACGTCCTGACCCTCACAGAGAAGACTTTCTGGGCTTTCCTTCTTGCTATGCAGACTGGAATTTAAATAAATATTAAGATGAGAGTAAGCATTTGGATAATTCTGAATAGAGGACAAACATTGCTCAGTTTGCCCTCAAGGTGAGCGAGGGGGGTTCCCTTCCAAGAGGGAATCCTAGAGGAGTAGCTGGATGCTCTTATTTTCAAACAGAGATTTACATCTGCATTAGAAATCACTCAAATAAGAGATTAAATGACAGAAAGCAGAAGCCCGAGAGGTAAGGAACAAAAAAACGAGGTCCTCAATTATAGTCATCGTCATTCAGGGGATTTACATCTGGCGAGGTCTCCTGTCTTTGTTTACACCAACGGAAGCCCCCAGGAGAATACAGCACGCAGAATCCACAGGAAGGATTTGGTCATATTTTCAAAGTAGTTTAGTTTTCAAAAACCCAGCTTCCCTAAAGGGAAAAACACCTTGAGAACCAATTAGTGGTATGAAGGGCCAGAAGAGAAAGATTGCGCTCTGGCAAAAAGATTCATTTGTTGATTTCAGGTAAAAGCCTAGGGCCACATGCTAAAGCGGATGGTCCCCTCCTTATCTCCCCCGTGCCCTGGGGACATTGCAGCCTGTTACAGTGTATCTTCTGAACAGGGACAGGAACAAAGTCTCACAACAATTTTTGTAAGACGCAATCCTGAATCACAGAACCGGTGACAATTTTCTGAGGACTAACAGTGGATTATTGGAACAGCAGAAAGGGAATACAAAAATACTTTCTTTTTTTCTGGTTAATCAGATTTCTTGTGAGCAAAGCTTAGCCCTCTAAAAGTAAACAAGACAAATGGATACTAAACATTCAGAAGAAGGCCAAATTGACGATTGATGCCTCTTACTGTTTAAGATCAGCTATAAATATGCTGCCCAGTGGTTTTTAATGGTGTCACTGTCTGACTCAGCAGACCAGTGTCAGGAAAGAAATTTACATAAATGGTAAGTGAAATCTTTCTGCAGGAAACAGGACTGTTGGAAACTGCTTAGGTAAGGAGATGCTCACTTACACAAACATGAATATACATATCCAACCTCCTCGCCAATATCTTCTTCAGCTTAAGTTATTGCCCATAAAAAAGCTAAGATGTTTGCTTTTAATTTCCAAAAATTCATTTCAGTCTCAATTTTACTTGGAATAAATTCTGTGAGTAAAGCTTTCATTAGGAATAAGAAGAAGAATATCAGGCTGGGATCCATAAACACGAGCAAGATTCACCTTCAACACAGCTCGTGTTTAAATGAGTTGGCTCAGGATGACAAGACAACTCCAGGGCAACAGCCCCTGATCTCTAGGAACCGGAACGGATGAGATGAAAGAGCCTTCCTTGCAGCGCAGTGTAGCACAAGCTCTCAGGTCAGACGGGCTGGGCTCAAATCTCAGTTTAAGCAGTTCCTGGCTGGGAGAGGTACTACTCATTGTAATCTGCACTTTCCCTCTGATCACATGGCATGATAATAATTCAGTGTGAACATGAAGAATAAAATTAGAGAATCCACCTAAAATACTCATCATCGGGACCAGCATCTATCAAGCACTAAAGAGAATGAATGCCAATTGCTATTGTTGTTATTATTACTATTATTTTTCTTCTGCTTCTGGTTCTCCATTTCTGAGCCAGATTGGACAGTGTGATAGATTGGAGGATTGGCCCCAATTCTTCACCCTTCTCTGTACCCATGCCATTGCCATGGCCTCATCATGGGTGGACTGTGTTCCGACACCCATTGAATTGACGTTGGGTTCAGCCAGATGACTTGAGGTCAGTGGTGTGTGTGTGGAGCGACAGTGTGTCAGTTCGGAGCCCAGAAGTTAAGAAGATTCAGCCATTGCTGCTGGCCCTCTGACACCTCACAGGATGAGAAGAACATACTCTAGCAGGTAAAAGATGGGGAGCACACTCAGACTCTGGTGACAGAGACACACCAGGCTGAATCAGAGCCCCTCCAGCTGCCCTGTAGAGCCATGAGGGAAATAAAGGTTTACTGATGCATGTCACTGAAATTTTGTCATTATTTATTATGCAACAAAAGCTAACCGATCCATCACGTGCATTAAGGAGTTGTCTATCCACAATGCATTTCTTATTTCTGAAGAAAAACACATTAGCTCAGAGTCTAGGTCTGAAACGAAAGTGGAGTGATAAGTCTGAGAAGAAGAGTGCTTCAACAAAGCCGGGATTCCCAGGCCGGGGATCCCGGAGACTCTAACCACGCCTTCTTGGCTTTTGTGTGGGAGACGGCACACGCTATCAATGTCAAGATGATTTTAAAATGGCTAACATTTGTTGAAAGTCTGTCATAGGCACTGTGCACGTATAGTCTCTTTTTGTCCTCACCAGAGCACCAGGAGGTAGGCACTACTAATTGTAGAAATGAGAAGCTGAGGCATATTGAGGACAAGCAATTTGCCTACATTCACGGAGGGTGAGAGTACTTAAGGCAGGATCCAAACTCAGGAAGTCTCGTTGCACAGCATGAGATGATGATGGTGAACACAGCTGACGAGAAGCACGGATGTGTTTCTCCCCTCTATAACCACGTCACTGTTTTAGTCATCGCATCGTGTGTATCGCTTTATTTAATCCTTAGAATCCCATGAATTAGGTGTTATTTGTTATCCCCACTCTACAGACAAGGAAATGGGAGGCTAGCAGGTCCAGTTCCTCACCCATATGTGCACACAGCTGGCAACGGTGTGCAAGCCAGAGCATACAGTGGTGAAGTCGGATTGCAACCCCGGCCCCTAGTTAACCACTGCACAACGGTAACAGCTATGATCACATTGCCCACCCCAATGTGAAAGGGCAGGATCATGGTCTTTCGTTTTTGTCTGGAAATTTATAAGCTTCTCCGAGTTCAAAGGCACACATGCATTCCTGGCACCATGGTTACCTTCAAGTGTGTAAATGTGATCAATGACCTTTAATTTATATCTCAGCCTCCACTGAGCTTTCAGTCTTGCAAGCACAAGAACCATAGTTTCTTATTTGCTGCCTTGATGTTGCTTGTTTTCAGTTTTGTTTTTCTCATTGTGTATTTTTAAGTTCAACTTTGTCGGGTGACAAATTCAGAGGAATCCTAACAGAGTAATAAAAAGAATGGAGGAAAGAATACTAATCGTGACGGGTTTTAGAACTATCTCCAGGAAATTAAGTTAACCACTTAAAGTATGAAAACAGACAACTGGTGCCCAGATCTGTTCATACAAACATTTCCTGCATCTGGTGGGAAAGCCTCAGTGGTCCCAAGCCTTCAGATACTTTCTCCAACCAGTCCCCAAGCACGGCAGCCCCATCTCTAAGTATCTTCACCCCGACACGCAAACATCATTCCTACCTACCTTAAAAGCAGCACCTCCATGGATGACGGATTTAATAAAAATCCCTAAGTCTGTTCCAGTTTCTCGAGACTTGTTCCCTTTCAAGCTCACCCCGAGGCCAGCAGAACCTGAGTCATTGAGGGGGATCTCGAAGGTGAGCTGCTCCGTTGTTTCCAGGGAGAGTGCGTAGCAGTCAGGTTCTCCTTTCTGTTGGGAAGTCACATGAACAAGTGAAGGGAAGAAAGGAGATTGACATTTACACACCCAGATAGCCAAACACAGATGTAATTGGCAAGACAGGATGACTGGCGCTCTAACAGCTGTAATCCTGCTCCTGGCAGGCAACCGCGGGTCGTCTCTCCTGGAGGAACCACCATCATGCCCATGGAACAGGGGCAGAGTTCTTGGGGACAATACCTGGTGACAGTCGGCAGAGAGGATCCTTTGGCAAGGCAGAGTCATGCCTTTTGAAACATCCGTAAGTATTGGGAAATTCAGCAGAATATTCTCAATAATTAAAGAGTCTGCACATTACTTAGGGGGTGTTAGGTACCAGAAAAGCCTTAGAGACATCACAATCTCAACAGCTTCATTTCACAAATGAAGAAACAGAGCTTAGGGTAGAAACGTGCTAAAATTTTAGGGAAATGTTTGGCTTACATAATTTACAACATATCATTTACCACGAAGAAATGTTATTGAAAAAGACTGTCAACAGGATAGAGCATTGAAAAAATAAAAATAAAATAAAAGATAAAATATTGTTTTAAAGTTAGAGAAACGTAATTTACAATGGATATCACTGAACCAAATTTCACTGTGTCAAAACTCACGCCTTAAGCTTGCATCTTTGGGTAGTACAAGTCAGTTTTGGCAACCAGTTTTTGAACTTAAACAGAAATGGAAAATGCACAACAAATATTCATGTCTTCTTTGACAAACGACACCTGGCTGTAAGCATAGCTGGTCCCAAAAAATGCAGAGTATGGCGGCAAAAGTCACATTTAGGGCTCAGGTCTCCAGGGAGAAACATGGTTAGTCATATTTGGCCCCTGGTGTTTTCAAATATACAGTAGTGGGAACTAAAAGTGCGGTCCACATTATAATCTGTGTAGATGTCCCTCCTGCATCCCTCTCAAGCTAGCAGAAATGTGAAACTGCCACGGTGTGTAACCGGAAAATCTCAAAAGGAGGACGGCCCTGGAAACCATCAACTCGTTCCAGGCCGGCAGTTCCTTCTTCTCTATAATTATGCCTAGAGACTCTCGTCTTAAGGTCACTTTGAGGGACTCTCATGTTAAATTACGTATTTTAAAAATTACTGTGAATGTCTGAATGTCAGTTGCAAAATAACAACTATAAAATCAGAAGTAGCAAAGAACCTAGAATTAAAACAGGATTAAGAGGTCTGATCATAGCCAGATCCACTGACATGGCACTTTCAACTCCTACAAAAACAGAGAAAACCCATGTGTAACTTTAAAGAAATAATGCCTTCATTTAATTTCGTTGTAAATGAAGTTAGCTGTAAAGATTTTGACAACAGGTAGTTTCAAAGAAATGAAACTTTATTGCTTAATTTAATAAACCTATTACAGGTTAGCTCTTTTAACTAACTTATTATATTACCATCTAAGAAACAAATCCCATCATTCGATTCAAACTGGCTGTGTTTTTCCCTTGGAATGTCAGAGTTAAGTACTAAATGTAAATTATTAGCCCTCATCCTTGTCTTCCAAAATGTTCTATTTAGAATTCACAACATTTCACAACCATTTATGTTTCCACGCCTCTCTGGGATTTGGTATTTCCAGTCTAATAAAGTTCCACTGAATTAAAGTGTGAATTAAAGAGCAGCTGTTCTCACTAGAAGTTTGTGAACACAGTTAGAGAAAGACTAGAAAGCATCTCTGGCTTTTTATCTACTGGAGAGAAAGTAACACAGGACAAGTTTTCCACCAGTAAAACCTCTAAACCACTTTATTTTATAATCAAATATGTTTTTTTTTTTTTACCTGGAAACTGCGTTTAACTCTTAACAAGACTGACGACCACTATTTGGACTCATACCTTCCATTTACTACATGAGCGGTAAAAACAAAATAGAAATCAGGTGGTATTGTGGTTATCTTTTCATTTTAAAGTTATCTTTTTTAAGTCCCTGATATCTGAGAGCCAAAAATATAACAGCAAAAACAAAGTGGTGGCTAACAACGATCGAGTGGTTCTGTTCTAAGTGCCTCACACGTGTCAATACACTCACTCTTCACAACAACCCGCAGAGGAGTAGTATCATGCCCATTTCACAGACGAGGAAACTGTGGAGCACAGTGGAGAAGTGCCAGGCTTACATCCGTAAGACTTGTCAGTGTTGGCACCTTGTGGAGCCCACGCAGTGTGGTTCCTGCCTCAGGCTCTGGACTGCTCTGTCTCCCTTCTGTGAACCGCCATGACCTGGCCCAGCTGCAAGAAATCCCCACACTAACTGCTACAAGGACAGGAGGACGTCATGCAATTTCACATTCTCCACCCAACTACAGTTATGTTCTGTCTCTTTCTTATGCTGTCCCAGGCTCAAGCCACAATTAGCAATCTCTCATAAAAGCTAACTTCCCAATGGAGAAGGAAGCCATTACAGAAGTTAACACAGTCATTTCCTCTGTTAGAAATAAATGTCCTTTTACCTAATGCGCAAAAAAATCAATATACTGAATGCCTTCCTCCAATAATCTTGGTTCAACTAGTGACTCTGAAAATTAAACTCAAATCTTGCCAGACAACAATTTGTAGCATGGAAAGAGGTATGAAGTCCTCGCCAGGGCCCCCAGTGCAGGACCTCAGCGATACCACGAGCCAGAAGGCAGCGGCACGTCCAGAGCTGGAGCCTCCCGGCTTCCCGGCTTTCCGATGAGGGCTTTTCCACACTGTGTCGGGAGTACCCCTTGCTTCTTCCACACGCCGCTATCCAGAGCAGGAAGAAAATCCAAAGAGGCAAGGCTGGCAGAGTAAGGGAAACCCGGGGTAATTTCATTTCACTGTTTTTTTCTTTTCATTATTTCTCATTCTTTGCCACTAGAGGCCATGTCTTCAGAGGCAAAGTCCTTGAGGTTCCTAGACCCAGCCCAGGATGATGCTCAGATGCCCCTACCGCGTGGGTGTAGGTCTAAGGCCTCCTCAACTCAGGCTTTCTCAACCTCAGCATGACTGACATATGGGGCCTGACGACTCTTCGTTGTGAGGTACTGCTCTATGCACTGTAGGATATTTAGCAGAATCCCTGGCTACTACCCACTAGAGGCCAGTAGCACCTCCTTCTCCAGCTGTCACAATCAAAAATGCCCTCAGACATTGCCAAACCTGCCTTGGGGTCAGGATCACCTCCAGTTGAAAACCACTGCTCTGAACCAACAATTGCCAAATGCAGTCAAATTTAAGGCCACCCGGGTCCAGAGAGGTAGGTGGGACCACAGAGCTGCCTGCTGATATGTTCCCAAGGCCCAGGAAGGGGTGGGCAAAAGATCCTGACCAGCTCTCAGGCTCACAGGTTCATGACTGATCACTTAGTTGATCAGAATGAACTACTGGGGAATTCTGCACTCAGTTACTTCTCTGGTTGTACGGCAGCTAATTCTCCAGAGGCAGACATGTGATCTTCCTGGGATGAACAAAGTAGGAAGAGGATAAACATTGAATTTATTGGTACATATACAAAATGCTGCCTTTTATTTATATAAGAATCTGGAAGAAAAAGATAGCCTATCAAGTGATGTTTGTTAGGTTAGCTGTGCTTACATGGATGCTGTTTTGTACTTTTTTACTTATTAAGAATCACAGAATTATACAAAATAGTACTTTAATCATGTGAGAAAAGCTTATGTGCACAGAATCTTTCACTTATGTAACAGATACACTCTATAGGTACTCAGACAACTACCCATCTTCTGATTACCTACCTGCCCCATTGATCTGAAAAAAACTTGGTTATCTCTTGGCACTGGAATATGGACTTCTGTTTTCTTCTTTATAATTTTTCTGTGTTTTCCAATTATTTCTCAATCATGTCAAAATGACACATGTTTTAAAAAAGAATTTATGAAGTTATAAGAACTCTGCAATATTATTGTAACGTCTACTAGAGAGATGGTAAACACATCTCTGTGAGCTCACACACACACATTCTAATACTCCGTATACCCTATACAATACATATGCCCTATGGCAGTATATGCACTATGTGATTCTTTAAATCCACATATAATACATAATATGTATATATACACTCTATAAATATATATGTGCGTGTATGTGTGCATGGGGGTGTGTGTGCATTCTATTTACAGCTTCTCTTAGAGTCCCCAGTGACCTCCATGTTGATAAATACGATGGTCAGTTCTCACCTTCATCTTTCTTGATCTACAGCAGCATTAGGCCCAATTGATCAAGTCCTACTTCTTGAAATACTTGCTGTTCTTGGTTCTAGGACACCACTCTGTCAGAGTCCACCTCCTACTTCACTGTCCCCTCCTTCTCAATCATCTTTTGCAATTCTTCTCACTAATCCCTAAGTACTAGAGTATCCTAGGAATCAATCATCTGACCTGTTCTCTTCTCTCCCATCCTCACTTTCTAAGGTACCTCATCTAATTTCACGGTTTTAAACATCATTTTACATGCATGAGTCACAAATTCATCTCTCTATCCCTCTCCCCTAAACTCAGACTCATATATAACCAATTTTCTAGTGAGCAATTCGATTAGGGTTTCTACCTTGAAATGATCATGGCTGAACAGAATCACGCCTCAAGCCTGCTCCTCCTGAACAAGCAAATGCAATGTGTTCCTCCCAACATTCAAGCACGAGATCTCCGTGCCATCGTCGACTCCCTTCTCTCACACTCTACATCCAACCCATCAGCAACTCCTGGCAGCTCTACTTTAACACGCCCGGGACCCTGCCCTCTGAGCTTCACCCCCCTGCACCTCACAGATACTCTCTGTGACCGAGCCTCCCCTTCCCCTTCTCTCCTCCTCAGGCTATTTCTCAGCACAGCCACCAGAGTGGTCCTACTAAAACAAATACTCCAAACCTTCCAGGGAATCCCACTTCATTCTGAGAAAAAGCCAAAGTCCTCCAATGTCCTGCACCGTCTGCGTAAGCTGAGCGCCCGCCTCTCCTACTGCTCTCTCTGCGCCTGCCCATTGGACTT